AGGAATAAGGAAGTGCTGGGTGCCATGACAAGAGTGTTTGCAATATTCTCTTTTCTGAGAGAATAATCATGGCTGTCCTACTCCCTTCTTATTTCCTCTTTTCTAGTTGATTCAAACACCTGAGTGCAGGGTTGTCCAATAGGCATGTAACATAATTTACAATTTTCTAGCAGGTACATTAAAGCAGTAAAATTAGTACTCACAACTCACATGCTTAACTAGTGTTTATGTGTTTTTTTATCTGTTGGCTGAGTTTTAGCATATTCGTATTTATAGTTAACATCTGGAATCCATTTTATCCTCACATTCTTTAATAAAACTATTCAAGGAGAGCTTATCTGACTTATGATTTTGCTAATTTCCATGAAAATACTGAGATTAAATAACATGAATATGAATATAAGAACAATTCATATTCATGTATACATACAAATTAATAAAATCGTTATATAAATAACCTTATCAAAGTTGTTCCTACTTAAAGAAATTATTTACATAAAGGCAGGGAGACAATGACAGGGTAGAGACACCATGCAACATATAAAATAGCAACTGGGACGTCAGGCTTCAGCTCTGATTTGTAAAATGCAAACATGACTTTGCACATGAAATCTTAGCTTACGATATTGAATGTTGTGTTTAACAAAATTTTTACTACTGTAATTTTACTAATTCACTTAAGTTACTTCAAGTCTATCAATGGTTGGAATTATGGAGGGTTTTCATTTTTGTGGGAAAAATCTGAGGCATTAATTTATCCCTTACATTTAAAGTCAAGCTTCCAAAAATCTTTCTCTAATTTCTGACTACCTTCTTTAAGTGTTTTCTTGTCTTGTGTCCAGTTCTTCCTTAGAATATTGCCATTCAAGTTATTATTCTGAACATAGATTTGGTCTTGCCATTCTATAATCTGTGATTCCTGTTGGATTATCAAAAATTTGGAACCTTAAACACATGTCCCCATGCTTTCACAGTGTACATTATGTCTCTCTTTACCTGTTTTTGTCACTCACACTCAGTACCACAGTCACTCTAGACCTCCTGCCTTTCTCTGTAGCCCTCTATTTCCCTGCACATCTGAGCCTTTTCACAGACCATCCCTCACTTCTGGAAAGTTCTGTTTTATATGGCTGATGACTATCAACCTGAATTGCACATATTCATTAAGACGTTACTCAAAATTTACATCCCATCTTCTCTTATGCTCAGCTGATTTCTCTTTTCCCCACACTTCTACTCCTGTTGTACTTGTGATAGCATTTTATTAAAGCATATTCATATCTATGTCTCTGTCTTATTTTAAATTGAAGCTCATAGAACATTTAAAAAATTATAATTATTAGGATTATAATTACATATTGCATCATAAATATATAATTATATTATATTATTATATTATATAATTGTTATATTATATAATAATTATGTTTTAAATTACATAGTTACTTAATTATATATATCAAATATTTAATATATAATTATATTTATAATATATAAATATCCAAATAATTTAAACATTATAATTATTATTAATTATTAAATTATTAAATGCATTTCCCACATATATAACTTAACCTTCACTACAGCGTTATGATTCTGATATTTATTTCATGTTTAGTGAGCACTTTGAGTCTCTGTGAGACAAAATAAACAAGTAAAATTCTGTCTTGGGTCAAAGACCTGGAAAGAAAGGAACTCAAATTAGAAGACTTAGGCCAGGCACCATGGGTCATAGCTGTTGTCTTTTTAGAGACAAGGTCTCACTCTCTTCCCCATCTGGAGTGCAATGGCTCAATCACTGTTCACTGAACCTTTGACTTCCCGAGCTTAGCTGGGCAGACACTCTTTAATCTTCTGTGTTTATGAAGATATATGAGCCACCAGATTTTTAAAAAGATGTTTCCTTTATGTCTCAATGAAAATAATTTTTTTCTTTCACTTTCAATTAAGAATCTTGGTTGATACAATCAAATTCTTAACATTAACTAAAAATTTAAATTTAAACATTCTTAAATTTAACTAGAAAACCGTATGAATAGTAAGGGCAGTGATCACAGGGATTGAGGAAGACAAATATATTTTAAAATATTTAGCAGACAATATTAAAAAGATCTTATGTTGAATTTGTGGTAATGAGACAAAATGGCTGAGATTAAGTCTCAGATGTCGAATTGGCCTCCATCCAATTTGTGTGATCCATGTATATGTCTTTGCATTTTCCTACATTGCTATAAATGCTGAATTCAGTATTCAGTGATTGATAAAATATTTTATCTGCAAAGTAATTACCTATTTTTCTCAAGCTTTTAAAGTCAGGTAAAAAAAAATTAGTAGTGGAGTTGAGGTAAATCTTATGAAATGAAGCTAATTATTACTTGTATAGAAACATGAGAGGCCACTTCCACCTCACCCACTTTATCTCTCCTATGTGAGCTTTTTGCCCAGGTCAAGAAAACAAATTGAGACAAGATAGATCAACGAGAAAAAAGCATATAAATTTTATTCATTTTACATGTACATGGGAATCTTCAAAGGTGGAAGGAAGATGTTTTTATACCTTTAGACAAAAAAATGACAAATTGTAGAAAAAAATTACAGAAAAAAGAGAAACTGGCTGGAAGCCATACATTCTAGGGGAGTCATAGGAGGTATATGTGGTAAAGCTAGTGGAAAATAAGGGTTAATTCTGGAAGTGTGTTTATTCAGGTCCACTGCATTCCTCCAATTCCCAGGCTCTGGTGATAAGGGCTATTTTCTATTCTGTTACAGGGAGGGTGCCGGAAGAGAATCAGAATGTATCAGAGATTCCTGGAGAAAAATTTATAGCTTGCTGCATGCTGAAAAAGACAGGTCAGATAACCTTTTTCTCCAATGTTAACCGAAAGTTTTCCAAGGTTTTCAGCTCAAACTATTAAGTATGCTGACTCAGCATATTTGTGGACTGCATGTCATTCACTCCTTCACTTTAATTATTTCACTCTCGAACCACAGCTTATTGTGATGAGAAAGATACTCATTCTCCAAGTAGAATACTCATGTCCCTTTCCATGAATCAAACTTTGCTAATTTAATACATAAGAAATTTCTAAATGCACACAATGTATGTTGTGAAATCCAAAGAGATACCATGTGCTATAAAATTTGCATCTTTTAGTCTAAGGACAGGAAATAATTAAAGAATGACTATGAAGTGTAAAATAATATCTACTACAGAACATTTGGATGGAAGGGAAAATGGCTAAAATGAGGCACCATGAACAGTGAGCCAAGGACTCTGTGAGGTAATAATTTGTTAATTTCCCCACCAAGAGGAATTATTGTTGAACTTTCAAAATGATCTGGAGTGCATTCTCATAAATGATGTAGCAAATGGCAGCAGATTTGGATAATTTGACTTGTTTCTATGTTGTTGTTCTTAATGACCTTAAGGGGAAAGGCGCGGCCTCTGAGTGCAGACACCTTGTCAGAGGGGATGAGCTTATTGCTTTTCTGAGCCACAGCCTACTGGGGTAAAAGAATTTTTAAAAGTCATTTCTGACAGCCTTGAAATGCTCAGTATTCATTGTTGACCTCTTTATCTCCACTACCAGAGTCATCGGCATGAAAAATAGGATTATATTTGCCTACACAGGAATGTCAGTAGGAGGGACTTCAGTGATGCCATTTCCTGATAAGGTACAAGGCATCCATATTGTTTTTCAGTAAACTAACTTTAAAGAGATGGAATGATTTCCCCAAGGCCATGGTATGTCACAGAAAATCATACAGCTAGGTCACCACTGGTAATAAGGGCTGTTTTCTATTCTGATACAGGCAGTACTGAAATGATTTCCCCAAGGCCATGGTATGCTTAATTCAGTGCTCCCTCGGGCTCTTTCCAATAACAACTAACAAAAAATAGCAGCCATTGTGTCTTAGTCTATTCAAGCTACTATGAAAAAGTATCTTAAACTGGGAAACCTATAAATAAGAGAAATGTATTTCTCAGAGTTGTCGAAGCTGGGAAGTCCAAGATGAGGGGCCTGAAGATTCAGTGTCTGGAGAAGCTTTGCTTTCTGGTTCATAGATGATGCCTCCTATGACATCATAGATGGCACTATCTGCTGTGACCTCACATGGTAGAAGGGACAAACAAGCTCCCTTAACCTTCCTTTAGAAAGGCACTAATCTAATTCATGAGAATGCTGCCCTCATGACCTAATCACTTCCCAAAATGCCTCAATTCCAAACACTATCACATTGGGGGTTAATGTTTAGCATATTGATTTTTGGAGGATACAAACACTCAAACCATTGCATATTCCTGTGACTGTACTACATTTCATGATGTCATCACTTCTTGTTCCATCTTTTCATCCTTCTTTGGACTGCCCTCATGGAAATATGAACAGGGTTCTACACTCAAAGGGCTCCATATATGATTTCATGCTCTGCTGTTATCATTAAAATGTTTAACAATTTCATCTCTGAGTATGCATGTGACAAATGAGCTGGAGAGGCTGGCAGCGTTAGCATGCAGTTTTGGTCCAATAGCAGTGACTACACAACTGGATTCATGCAATACCCACATGGGACAATTGGACTGGCTTTCTCATGCATGCATACACACACACACACACACACACACACACACACACACACACACACATCTTGTAATACTTCACAGCACTAAAGGATTCCAACAAGTGTCTGGGGGACGGCTGGGCTCAGATTGGTGGTGATGACAGAAGCAGTGGCACAGGTGGCCGTAGGTACAAATGTCCCTAACTGGGAAGCAAGGAGGTGCTCGCCCTGGCAGCAGCAAGTACCTGGTGATAGAAGGCCCATTTTCCCTCTGTCCCTGAGCCCAACCTTGTTGTATTCATAGAATGTGACGTATCTGACTGAATCCAGGACAGGAAATGCCAGGCAGCTTAGGCAGTAACCTTCGTTAGTAAGTCATTAGAAAATAACAGTACACACTGCTCATTGCAGTAAAGCACAGAAAGTACTTACTCTGATTCATAAAACAAGTTCAAAATTTATGTCTTAATGGCTACAACATTGCAAAACAAATATCCACAGACTTAGAAATAGAAATGACATTTAAAGAGCATTAAAAGAATTTTAACTATGTAATACTTTACTGTTAACTGTAGTTATGAAAGAGGACACTAGAACTTATTTGTACAAAATACAGTGAAAGAAAATGAAGAGGACAAATGGAAAGACATCCAGTGCTCGTGGATGGGAAGAATTAATATTATTTAAATGATAAAGCTACTCATTTGATGCAGTATCTGTCAAAATACCAATGACATTCTGCACATAAATAGTAAATATAATTCTAAGATTTGTATGGAACTATGAGACCCAAATAGTCAAAGCAGTCCTGAACGAAAAGGACAAAGCTGGAGGCATAACAATACCAAACCACAAACTACACCACAAACATGTAATAACTAAAAGAGAATGACACTGGAATAAAAACAGACACGGAGAACAATGAGACAGGCCAGAGAACCCAGAAATATATCCACATATCTCCTGCTGAGTTAATTATTTTATTTTTAATTTCTATGGATACATAATAGTAATGTATCATTATGGAGTCCATGTGATGTTTTGGGAAAAGCAGACAGTGTGTGATGATCAAATCAGGGTAACTGGGATAACCATCACCTCAAATATGTATTATTTCTTTGTGTTGAGAACATTCCAATTCCACACTTTTAGTTATTCTCTAATATATACAATAAATTATTGTTTACTATAGTCACTCTATTGTGCTACCAAATACTGGCTCTTATTCATTCTACCTAATTATGTTTTTGCAGATATTAACCACCCCCACTTTATCAACCATCCCCTATACCTTTCCCACCCTCTGGTGACCATCAGTCTATTCTCTATTTCCCCTAGTTCCATTTTTAAAAATTTTAGCTCTCACATAGGAGATGAGAACATGCAAAATCTTTCTGTGCCTGGAGTCAACTGATACTTGACAACAGTGCCAAGAACATTCACTGAGAAAAAGACTGTGTCTCCAATATATGGTGCTGGGAAAGCTGGATAATTACCAGCAGAAAAATGAAAGTAAACTGCTAATTCTAACACTATACCAAAATCAACTCAAAAACAGGTTAAAGACCTACATGTAATCATTTTTATTACTGCTGAAATATTTCAATTCTTATTGTTGATCTAAAATACGCCTGATGTTAAATTATTTCCTGGGATTCATTCCCTTATTAAAAAACATAAACTTGGTACAGGCCATCTAGAGGAGTATCAGGACTTAAGAATCCCTGATGATTCCTCTGCTAAATCCCTGTAATAATGAGTTCCCTAAATCAAAAGAAAGAGTAACTGGTACATTACGTGTCTAATATAAGAAAGACAAGGCATCTTACAGCTTTCAATTAGATTCATCAAGTCAAGAAACCTTTTTTGTTTTCAACATAAACAAAAAAGTAAATTTAAAATGACAGGCAAATAAAGTGACAGTAATAAAATTGTTATGCTGAGTACTAACATCAGTTAGACAAATTTCATTTCCATTTCTGCATGACCAAAACGACTAAACAATCATTCTCATTGACAGCGTATTAGTAAAAGTAGGTGCTTTCAAAATTCATGGAAAAAATGTCATGAAGCAGAAAGGTTGTTTAGAATTGTATATATATTTGTTAAACTATTTTTTTGCAGACATCAGTGATTTTGTTCTTCCCTTGGTTAATTTTACTCCTGTACTCTAGGTGTGAAATAATATTTTAATTACTATATACTGCTGAATGGACACATATCTGAGTTCTGCGAACTTAGGCAAAGAGTGTTTCTACATTTTCACTGAGCAGATTCTCCGATTCGCTCGTATCAGGGCCCCCATCACCTCCTTGTTTCTCAGGCTGTAGATGATGGGATTGAGCACTGGAGTGAGGATGGTGTAGAAGACAGCCAGAGCCTTGTCCTCTGTTGGAGATCGCAGGGATCTTGGACGTAGATAGGTGTAGAGAAAAGGCACATAGTAGAAAGTTACTACAGTGAGGTGGGAGCTGCAGGTCATATAGGCCTTCTTCCTTCCCTCTGCAGAGTGCATGTGGTAGACAGCAAGGAGAACCCGGCCATAGGAGCATGCAATACCAATGAAGGGAAACACGAGAAAGATGGCAGCGCTCAAAAACACTGTGCCCTCATAGACCCAGGTGTCCATGCAGGCCAGAGTCACCATGGCTGGGACATCACAGAAGAAGTGATTGATGGCTCTGGATTGACAATAAGGGATATGGAATATATACACAGTGTGAGCACAAGCATTGATAGAGCCTATGAGCCAAGATCCAGTTATCAGCAGCACACACACTCTTTTGCTCATGTGGATGAGATAGTGGAGAGGAAAGCAAATAGCAATGTAACGATCGTAGGCCATAGAGGCCAAAAGTAGCGCTTCGGCGCCTCCTAACGCCAAGAAGAAGAAGTTCTGAATCCCACACCCAATGAAGGAGATAGACTTGTTTCCATACAGAAAATCAGATGCCATCTTAGGAACAATGGTGGAGATGTAATTTAGGTCAATGAACGAGAGCTGACTAAGAAGGAAATACATGGGTGTGTGGAGATGGGCGTCCAAGAAGATGAGAAGAATCATGGCTAGGTTTCCAATTAGAGCCATTAGGAAAATGAGAACAATGAGAATGAAGAGGAAAAGGCCAATTCTTGATGGTGGGAACAACCCCAATAAGATGAAATCAGTTGATGTTTGAGTGTAGTTTTCCATGGGGCATTCCTAGATCCTTCCTGAAGGGAGACACAAGGGTAAGTGAAGTATGGAAATTCGCCATTATCTGCAGTGGATGCATTCCAAGACCCCCAGTGGTTGCCTGAAACCGAGGTTGACACTGAACCCTATATACACTATTATTTTGTGTCCGTACATACTTCTGATAAAGTTTAATTTTAAATAAGTCAAGTAAGAGATTAACAAGAGTAACCTATAAAATAGAACAAGTATATAGTATACTATAATACAAATTATGTGAATATGGTCTCTATGTTTATCTCTCAAAATATTTTATTGTACTTAGCCTTCTTCAATCTGTATTTTACCTATTTTGAAAAAAGAAATATTATTTTTCTACCCAGAGATTAACTGAGATTTGCTGAGATCAAGAGACCAACATTTTTGACCATATTTTTTTTCTGGGATATTTATAAGAAATATATCTCTGTTGCAACTTTAATAGAATATGAATGTTTTACTGCCTGACACAAACTCAGATATAATCCAAGTCAGATGTTATATTGAATACATATGCATAGAAAGTCAATCTAAATGCCTACATTTAGATTTATATTTGCAAACATTAGTATCATCTTTATAGGATGATCCATTATATGTACATATTTACATACATATTTTTTGAGTGACCAGGTCTCTCTCTTTTACGCAAGCTGGAGTGCAGTGGCAAGATTATAGCTCATTGCAACCTTGAACTTCTGGGCTCATGCAGTCCTCCTGCCTCAGCCTCCTGAGTAGCCTCATGCCACCACACCTGGTTTTTTATTTTTGTAGACGTGAAGTCTCACTATGTTGCCCAGGCTGGTTTTGAACTCCTGACCTCAGCAGTCCTCCTGTCTTGGCCTTGCAAAGTGCTGGTAGTGCACACATGAGTTACTCCATCCAACCCTTGTTTATTCTGTAAGACTGACTTCTTAAACTGCAGCAGCCTGTCTCTCATTTTGAGAAACTTAAAGAACGTTTGTGCAATAACAGCAAGTCAAACTTCTTTTGTCAGTTATCGTTATTTGGTTCTTTTATTTAGAAATCCAGAGTGAATCCTTATTGCTATGTCCCTTTAACCAAAGTCATGTTAATTCACACTCTTGGTTTTCAATATTCATTGTCATCCATTCTCTTTTGCCTCTTCACCTAATTTCAGAATCCTCTAGTTAAAGCAGACTCCTTACCAAATAGGTTACATATTTTGTCATTTCCTTCTCTAGTGCTTAGGGTAACATTGTACTTGCTTTATGGATCCTTCAAAAGAATGAATTTGGAGGAAAGTCCTTTCGCCAAAAAACAAAACTAGAATCCTGACAGACTTCTTGGTAGAGGAGTGTTAGAAACTCTACTCCAGGCAGAAGACATCAGGGAACAACTTTGCACAGTACACCTAAAAAAACTGGAGTTTTTTAGGCATAAATTTTAGTCTCGAGCCAAATATCATCAGAATTTTGAGCAAGTACAATAACATATACAAATAAGATACATACAGCATGCAAACACACAAATATGCACAATCACACACCGTCATACACGTGAATACACTGAGATTACAATGATCAAAAAACGAAGAAAGAATGGTTGTGATCAAAATTCATGTCCTCAGAGATGTATGATATGTTAAGAAATCCATGAAATAAGTATCTTTTGCTACATAAAAGGACGTGACAGGTAAACATAAGGGAATTTTCAAAGTTAAAAATATAATTGATAAAAATGCGAAGTTAAAGTCTCAAAAGACAGAGTAAGAAAATTCTATTAGAAGGTAAACCAGGTAAAGCAAAGCAGCAACAATGTGAAGAGATTGCTACTCAGGACAGATAGAAAAATGGGGGAATTCATATGGGAGGACCAATATGTACTTAAAGATATTCTTAGAAATGTATATAGCAAAATAATAGTGAAGTTAATATTCTTAAACTATTTTCTCTGCACTGAAATAATATTAACTATCATATTCAAATAGCATGCATATTCACAAAAATAAGTGAGAAATATTTTCCTGAAAAATACTATATGAAAATTCGATTTCCTTGGAAAAATTCCCTAAAAAATTCTAAATATTACCTAGAAGACAAAATTCTAAAGCTTTTGAAATAATAGTAATAAATATCAGAGGACATATGTATATATATATATATTTATGAAAAATCAGGTTTTACAATAGTTTATATTTTTTGTATTGTAGCAATAAATCTATAAGAGGAAATGAGCCGTCAAGCCCTCATGTAATTCTGCTGTGACAATGGGAGAAGGGTAAGGAACCTGGGGGTGATGCTGGAGGAGGGAGCAGGTCAGTATCTATGGGGGCCTGTATCATGGGTCAAGGAATGGTATCTGAGATATAGAAGATCAAGTATTAGCAGATGAATGTATTGTCTAAAAATACATGGGCAAACGTGGGGGAAACTGGAAAGATAACTTGAAGTCCTTGTCTTTGGGGTCAGCAAGAGTTTCTTATGTTTCTAACACTTTACCTTGTGGTCTGTTGAGACATGTCTGTGCATTTCTTGCATAAAACATTAAAATGATGTAAAAATTATGCCACAGTTGAGAATTTAACCCACAGCTTCATCATGAAAGACTGGCAGCTTTTACTCTTAAGATTTGCAACAAGGGGAGGACTCAAGATGGCGCTGTGAGAACAACCCAGGATTGGAGCTTGCGTTGAACCGCAAACGGTGAGTCAGAGCTGCATTTACAGACTGATCTTTGTTGCCCACAGAACGGGGAAACTCCCAAGTATAAAAAGACACAGGACGCCAGGCAGTAGGTCTGCCTGGTGAAGCCGGCAGCCAGGGCGGCGGCGGCCGGCCCTACCCAGCAATCCCCACAGGGCGCGCTTGTCCGGGTGCCCTGTTGAACTGGCAACCTGAGACTTGAGAGGGCTGGACTTGAGACTGAATGAGACTTGGACAGTAGCCCAGCCCAGGGGATTGCAGGGACAGATCGTTTGGGATACCCAGTGGGACGAACAAAACCGCTATTTCAAACTATATCCCGAGCAGACGGTCCGAGACGCTCTGTGGGGGAGGGGCGTCCACCACTACCGAGGCAACCCGCCCCAACTGAGATACACGCCCACTGCTAACGCAGCCAGCCGTTGCCGAGGCAACCCGTCCCTACTGAGATACATGCCCACTGCTGACGCAGCCTGCCGTTGCTAAGGCAACGCGCTACAACGAAGAGATTCCGCCGCAGGGCGTGGCGGAGACCACAGCAGAGCCTGCAGGAACAGGGCGAATCACACAACAGCAGGGCGGAGCCTCGGCAGCCAAACAGTGGCTAGTCGGCCTTCTAGCTGGGCAGGACACCTCATCGAACATCCAAAAATAAAGCCCAAACCCCTCAACACAGAGCACTTGAGAAAAAAAAAAAAAAGGGTTTTTTAATGAGCTCTGTTGCAGCAGAATCAAACATAGCAGCCTAACAGCCCTGAATGAACAACAGAGCAAACAGCTCAGCAATTAAGCCCGTATAAAGTACAAACTGTCTCCTCAAGTAGCTCCCTGACCCCTCTATATCCAAAAGACTGACATTAGGCAGGCATCATCCTGGGACAAAGATAGCAGAAAAAGAAACGGGTAGCATCCCTCGCTGTGCCACAGCTGCTAGAGGTGCACCCCAGACAAGCAGGGTCTGGAGCGGACCTCAGCAGTCGTACAGCAAAGGGGCTAGACTGGTAGAAGGAAAACCAAGCAACAGAAATACTTCATCATCAACATTCAGGGTGTCCACTCAGAGACCCAATCGAAAAGTCAGCAACTACGCAAACGACCAACGGACAAATCCACAAAGATGGGAAGAAACCAGCGCAAAGGAGGAAAACACCCGAAACCAGAACACCTCGTCTCCTAGAAAGGACCAAAACTCCTCACCAGCAAGGGAACAAAGCTGGACGGAGAATGACTGTGATGAAATGACGGAATTAGACTTCAGAAGATGGATAATGAGAAACTTCTGTGAGCTAAAAGATCATGTATTAAATCAATGCAAAGAAACTAAGAACCTTGAAAAAATATTCGAGGAAATGATAACAAGAATGGATAACTTAGAGAGGAATATGAATGAATTAAAGGAGCTGAAAAACACAATACGAGAACTTCGCGAAGCAAACACAAGTTTCAATAGCCGAACTGACCAAGCAGAAGAAAGAATATCTGAAGTCGAAGACCAACTCAATGAAATAAAACGAGAAACCAAGATCAGAGAAAAAGCGCAAAAAGGAATGAACAAAGTCTCCAAGAAATGTGGGACTATGTGAAAAGACCTAATCTACGTTTGATAGGTGTACCAGAAGGGGACGAAGAGAATGAATCCAAGCTGGAAAATACTCTTCAGGACATCATCCAGGAAAATTTCCCCCACCTAGCAAGACAGGCCAACACTCAATTGCAGGAAATACAGAGAACACCACAAAGATATTCCGCAAGAAGAGCAACCCCAAGGCACATAATCGTCAGATTCAACAGGGTTGAAATAAAGGAGAGAATACTAAGGGCAGCCAGAGAGAAAGGTCGGGTCACCCACAAAGGGAAGCCCATCAGACTCACAGCAGATCTCTCGGCTGAAACACTACAAGCCAGAAGAGAGTGGGGGCCAATATTCAACATTCTTAAAGAAAAGAACTTTCAACCCAGAATTTGATATCCAGCCAAACTGAGCTTCAGAAGTGAAGGAAAAATAAAATCCTTTGTGAACAAGCAAGTACTCAGAGATTTTGTCACCACCAGGCCTGCTTTACAAGAGCTCCTAAAAGAGGCACTAGACATAGAAAGGATCAACCAGTACCAGCCATTCCAAAATCACACTGAATGCTAAAGAGCTTCAACATAATGAAGAATCTACAACAACTAACAGGCAAAACAGCCACTTAGCATCAAAATGGCAGTATCAAATTCACACATAACAATATTAACCCTAAATGTAAATGGACTAAATGCACCAATCAAAAGACACAGACTGGCAAATTGGATAAAAATCCAAAACCCATCAGTGTGCTGTATCCAGGAAACCCATCTCACATGCAAGGATACACAAAGGCTCAAAATAAAGGGATGGAGGAAGATTTACCAAGTTAATGGAAAGCAAAAAAAAGCAGGAGTTGCAATTCTCATCTCTGATAAAAT